GGCCTTAGCTAACCACCCTGAAGGTAGAACAAGCCTCGCAGAGAGCTGATATTTCATTACTCCAGTCTGTAGGGACTGAGAGTGCCCCCACCTCGCACCACTCTCACCCTGCCTCACTCCCCCAGCTCCCTGGCTTGATCTGTACCTGCCTCATACAGTACTGGACACGCCCTGTGGGAGCACAGCCCACATTATCTCGACTGAAAAAATGACATTTTCAGTGCAACCCCCACATGTGGCGTGATTCAACAAGCACTTGAATCGTGTAGATGTTACCGCTCTGAACATGTAATATTAAATGTTACTGCTTGCCAGGAAAAAAAAAAAATCAATAAAAATTAATTTTATCCAGGCCAGCTGCTATGAATATCAGCACACCAAATTGCTGCCAGGTAGATTTTATTACTTTTAGCCCTCAATTCGCATTAGAGCAAATGTGAGCTGCGAAAAAGGTGTGAAAACTAACAGTGTATAAGTAAAGCAACGGGATGTACAACACCGAGATGTCAACACATCTGGTTCTGTTTTGGACATGTGCTGCTGGAAGCTAAGCTGCCATCCTGCTGGTAATATCTTTGCTCCCCCTTGTGTGGGCATTTCTTGGGGTGGACTGCTGTGTACATTGCTACCTCCGGCCACCCTGAGAGTACAGGCACTGGCCACGGTAACTGCTGTAACAACAGAGTATATGATCTAATAGGAACCCAGTTGTTCGGAAGTGAATATATTTCTTGAGGGGATGATTAAATGAGAACATTGCAGAGGAGGTGATAGATGAAAAAAAAAAAAAGGAGATAGAGATGTGCTGGGAAGGAGTGGGAAGGCAGCAGATAGTGAAGGAGAGAGAACGGCAGAAAGAAGTGAAAATTAGCAGGTGGGAGTAGGAAAGCTGAAATAAAGAAAAAGAGAGTGAGGCAGGCTGAGAGTAATAGACAGATCATGGAGCAGGAGGGAGGGAAGGAGGAGAAGAGTCTGATTGCTGGGCAGAGAAGGCACAAGAATATTAGATGTTTCATTACACAGAGCAAAAGAGCCCAAATCTTTCCACACAGAAAGGTTTAAGTGTCTTCCATTAGAGAGCTCTGACTCCCCAAATGCCCCCCCTGAACAGAGCTCTCCCTCTTCCCTCCCTTTCACGGCAAAAGCAGGATCACCGCACTGAGGGAGCAGTAGTGATGCATGATTTAAGATTTTTGCTGATATGCTGATGTTTTCCATTTATTTTAGCTGAATGCTGATGGTGATATATGCAGATCATTTTTTCCACCTAATTGCAGAAAGTCTCTCCTGTAGTCGAATTAAGATGTCATTACTCTTGTTGTGACGACCCGCTGGCAGGTACAACACAATGCTTTTCAATGTAAGTATTCACTGGGCAAAATAAATAAAAACACTTGAGCACACCTGTAAAACACGTCGATTTTTATTTCATATAATATTTTCAAACAAAACTGTAAATCTTTAGCTTTGCAGGTGTTATCGACCAGTCTGTGTATGTGTTCACGTGTACGTCAGTATATTCTGAAATACAAGATTTTATTCTGTGAAAGCAACATTCTAGGCATTATAAGTGGAATTATATAAGGATGCCCATATCTCTTATAGATAAGTGCTAATGAAATGTTTCTTGCATGTCGGTAAACAGGGTGCAGATGATGCCGTGGAAGGCAGAGAAGTTGTGTGTGTGTGTGTTTGTGTGTGTGTGTTTTTATTTTACTGTATCTGTAAAAGAAAGCAAGAGAGGGAGAGCTGCAGGTGACTTCATCAGTCAGTGAGACGGGTGGGTTCCGTCAGTGTGACGGCCTCGTCAGCGGCCCATATTAAACACATTAAACACTGGGCCGGGCTCCTCATTAATCAGCCCAGAGGGATGACAGCCAGCTCCGCTATCGGCCCTATACATCCACGCATGCCCAGGGCTGTCTGGGCCCCAGGTAATATACCCCATCCGCAGATAACACCATGATAGATCGACTGCAGCCGTTCTGATTGGGGCTCGCTCGTGTAATACCACCTTGTCTGGTTTTATCAGAGAAGTCCATTGAGCAGTCATGGCAGATCAGCTTTTCAAACGCTTCACGATTCAACTGATTTTTGACTGGGGGGGAGTTTCGTGTTGTTCGTGTCAGCTGATTTAGTGTCAGACCTATAAGGTGGGACAGGTACTTTAAAGGTACCATCCAATGATAATTGTCATGTCTACAGCCTCTTGGGGAGAATGATGACATCCTGTATGCAGGCTGTCACATTAATTTTAACAGTGTTATTAACCCTTCAAGAGGCCCTCTGCAAGCTTGAGAGGTGTGATTGATTAATAGTCACAATTTCCTACAGGTCACGTGATGTGAAGCATCTCGGATCACTGTGTCCATCACCTAGGAGCTGGAATTATTCTTAAAGAACACACCTGAAAACACTAGAAACCACTCATTGCCTTTTTTCAAGAAACATAATGAAATTATGGCAAAAGAAAATGATACAGTGCATGTTCACTTTTCTACACTGCCATTATTAGGCTTCTCCAAAAGCCATTCCTACATTTTGACTTTAATTGATTTCTAATTACACCGCCTACCTGAAAGGTGGCTTTTAATCATCCTTGGTCAGTAATATGACTCTCATTCCTCCTATGCACCACGCACCACGCTGATCCACCATGATAGCAGGCACCTCATCCATAACTGCTTTCCATTTTGTCCTACCTTAAAGAACACCCTCCCCCACCCACCTACCCATCCCTGCTTCCACCAACACCCAAAAAGGAAAGACAAATCCTTTTCCTCTAGGAAAGGCATCTGTGGCTGATAGCAAGCGATGTGCAAATCGCAGCAATAATTGCTGTAGTTAGTGGTCCAATGTGATTAATGTGGCCTTGTTAAGGGTCCTAAGAGAGGAGAAAGCATAATGGTGATGTGCGGTTAAGTTAGTTGGGATGGAAAGTGTCGTCCAGGTCTAGCGGTAGATTGGGGTTTCTTCTGCACCACTAGGTGTCTCTCTTCAGATGGGTTAGAGTTTGGGTTTGGAACTGAACAGAGCTGAGAGAGGTCAGACCCAGAGGAGGGTGGAGAGAAAAAAAAGTGAGGAGAAGAAAGGAGCAAGGGCAACTCTATGAGGTCCTCTGCTTCTCTTTGTGCCCTTGTTTGTACACAGACGTGACTGTTTTCTCTGCTCACTGTAGAGCCATAAAGGCTTAGCGCCTAGCTGTCGAACTGTGTTTGTTGTTTTTCCGAACAACCCTTTAGGTGCATTCTGCTCACCTCTTTGGCTCAATGCATTTGTGATGTAAAATGCAAAAGGCACAACTGTTGCCTATAAATTCTGCAGAGATAAAATGTTCCTAAAATCCTGGAGCCAGTGAATGAAATGAAATGTCTCCTTTTCATGTATTCATTTACTCAACAAGTACTTTGTATTCGCTATTTATCGCCCTTTTTCACCTCCACAGGCTTTTTGTTCTGCCAAATGCACATTCTCTTTCTCTCCCTCCCTGGTTTTGTTGAGATATGCTGCTCTGCTTTTCTGTTCCTTTGTCCTTCCCCCCTCTCTTCGGAAGGAACTCACACATTTCCTCCATGCTCTTTATTGTCTGCTCCTCTATTCCCTTGTATCAACTGCAATCCTGAGCAGCAGAGGTTATATCGTTTTGTATTGGAGGGTCAGAAGTGCAGCAGTATGTTCGCCCACGGGCAGCTTATCTCAGCAACGCCATAAGACTAGATTCCAGCAAATCCCACTGAAACCACATAGCATATTCGATCTTGCTGAAATACTTGCAGAATGAACCTGGAATGAAAACTGCAGCACAAACATATCCATAGGCTTTCTGTAACCTCTTTGCATATTTGGTTTAGTCTGTCTATTCAAAAAAAAAAACAAAAACAGACAAACACCATTTTTTTTCTCCCCTGGTGTTTGTGTTTCCGTGTGACAGTATGCAGGCCTCTCAGCTGTGATTCTCCAGAGCATGTGAGAATGTAGCCAAGCAGCAGTGGGCATCATGTTGCCACAGTCTGTCTGTGCTGCTGTGCTGTGGAACAGACATGGAGCCAGTGTAATTACTTCCATTATCACTGCCACACAACACAGCACGACAGAGACAAGGAAGACAAGAATTGAAGTTGACTCATAATGGGACATGTGAAATCTAGCTCCAACTTGTGCATGCTGGCAGACTGAGAGGGAGTGGAGGGAGTCATAGAGAGAGGCAGGGTGGTGGGAGGAAACAGGATGTGAAGGAAGCTAGACAAAAAAAAAATTTAAAAAAATAGGTTTGCTGCGGTTCTGTGTGTGAATCTTCCTGCGTTTGCGCCATTTTCCCTTTCATGTGTGCAAAGAGAGCCGAGCTGTGCGATCAGTTTCTCTCCCCCAGCTTGTAATCAGCAGGCATGTCAGTAAACACTGTTAATGGGGGTGGACACTTTCTCCCTTCTCACCCAAGACCCCTGCAGTAGCTAATTGGGATAAATGCAACTCCATGCTTCATTTACCCTCACACTCTCTATTTCTTTCTGTCTTTTCCCCTCCTGTTTTCTTTCTCTCCACTTCTGCTTTAACCTCATCTTTCCCCTCCGTTCTGTCTTGTGTTGCTCTCTTCGCTTGTTCTCCGTGCTTGTTAATAGCTTTCCAGCTCATTGACATACCAGATGTTTGTTTTTTTGGGGGGTAATCAAAACATGAGAAACAGCACAGTGGACACGCTGCTGTCTCGTCCAGCATGTGTGATTGAAATGAGCCCTTTGTTGCATGTATTTAATGTTGACAGACAAAACATGGATTGGGTAATGAATGAAATGCTGTGAACAAGAAGGGAAATACACATCACTTGCTTCTATTTTCTTTGATTGGTGTAAACTACCCTGCAACAGAGACACGTCGTGCCGAAAGTTCCCGCATATATACATACCTCATGTACCTCAGAGTAAAGAAATAACTGCTTGATTTGATATTATTCATTATGATTTATTATTTTGCTGCCTCTTTCCGCCCATGCTCTGCGTGTATATGATGGTGTAATGTATTCATGGGTCTTGCTGCACCATCATTGCTTTTGTGATGTAATCTCTTTTCCCTTGGCTTGGACCCCACCTGTGGGAGAAGGAGAGAGAGCTGTAAGTGCTTGTGTGATGTAAAATGCCTAATTTAGGGGGTGATTGATGGTTTAATATTGCAGCCTGCAACCTTGCTGCCCCCACCTACCCAATGAAGCTGCAGGCAGGTGTGAAACTGTAGCACTGTGTGAGTATAATGTCACTTTCTATTCTCACATTCAAACCCAGCCGGTGGAATTAAACCAATTCTGAGTTTGTTTGTTTTCGTGTGTGCGTGTGTGTGTGTGCGTGTGTGTGTGTGTTTGGAGTGTGTGTACACTGTGGGCATGCTGGCGCATTTCTTCTATCGTAGCACTGCTAAAATCCACTTAGATATATTGACTGTGGTCTAGAGTCAGTGGTCAGTTATTGCAGCCATTTCTGTTTTCCTCATTTTAACCAATCTTAGCTCATCTCCTCTGTCTCCTCTCTTTTCCCTAAGATAGAGTGCAAGTTCTCAGTGTCATTACAATTCTCTTTATGTCGTCAATGCCCTCAACCCTCTGTCCATTTCTATTCTCCTGTTTTTCTCGTTTTCGCTCATCTACATGCTTCACGTTCTGTGTTTTCATGGCTTTACTCTGGCGACAGCCGTGGCTAGAGGCATTATGTTTTCGTGTAGTCCGTCCAATTCTCACAGTATATCTCTTGAAGGCCTTAAACAGATCTGTTCAAATTTGATGCAAGTGTTTACTTGAACTCAAAGATGAACTTGTTAGATTTTGGTGGTCAAAGGTTTAGGTTAGAAACACTTTTCACTGTAAACCAGGAATTCATAAATAAAAATTCATACAAGTGTCTCATTGTGACATCATAATGTTCTGCACTTCTCTGGCCATTATCAAGTGCCATAACTTTGGAACAAAAGGCTATAATGTGACAATATTTCACGTCTGGTTAAATACTAAATGGGTGAAACTAATCTCGGGTACTCACCTTAAAACTACACTAAATGCATAGGTCTGAAAATGTTTTAGAATTTGTAGCTCCTTAGCAGCAATATCTATATCTAAAGCATTATCTAATGCCTTGTATTCTATCAGAATCAGCTTCACTGGCCAAGCATGTGAACATGGAAATATTTTTTTACTGTCGTCGAATTTTAAAGTCCTTATTACTGAGTGTAGTCAGACAAAGATGTAAAGTACGTAAGTGATGGCCAGGCAGAGGCAAATAGCTGTGAGGCAGTAATTCTAGTTTGTTGTTTGCTATATTAGGAATGAATGAATGCATAAAATGTAGTCATGTCACCCTGTACATAGATCCAAGTATGGTAATGTCTTTTCTCAGTCAGCTAATTGTATTTTATTGTTGTTAATTGTTCTTTATTTTCTATTTGCTTTTGTAGTTTCACTCGATGTCATTGATAAAGAGGGTTGTATATGCTACCAGGCATTGTACCCTGACTTTAGATATCAGTCAGTTTCTTGAAACAAAGAGTTGAATTAGTACATTTATGAAAGTGACTCGACAAGATACCTGCTGCTAAATATTTTTACGAGATGTGAATGAGTCTGCTCTAAAGGCAACACTGGATGGGCCCGCAAGTCGAGAGAACACGTGAACGTTTAATTGCAAAAAACAAAACAAACAAACAAAAAAAAGACTCCAAAAAAGGGCAAACTTTGCCTGGAGGTGTGGTAGTGAGTTGTGAAAGAGAGATGAGATGAGAGATGGGCCGGGAAGTTTTTTATATTTACCAGATGCAGAAGAATGTCTGAGCAGGAGAAGATCATTAAGTTTCTGAGGTTTCTTTTTTGTGTGACCCTTGCCACCAGAAACAAAAATGAAGTGCTGTTTGCCACAAAGTCATGCAAATTCCCGGAGAGAGTGGTGGGTTGCTTATTTACTCAATACTTGCTAACAAGCAAAGTTTGCTTAAAACTCATGAGTGTTGACACGCCCACAGCGACAAGCGAGTGGTGCCAAAGGTGGCGCTGCACGATTGAATCTTCATGGTAATGCAAGTCATGTAAGAATGTTGTAATTGGACAACTCTTAAAGTCTTTTGCTTTTCGCATGTGTTGATCTTTTAGTTGTTTTTACCTTTCAATCTTCTCACAGGCTCCTATTTCTACACTAACTCTTTTCCTCCCATCAGTTCTGGCATTGTGTGAAGATGGACACTACATGAGGAGCAGACAGGAAAAGAATCAGAGTCACTTTCCAAAGTTTGACAAAGTGCCTTTAGATCCTTCTGGATGTGTTCATCACTGCGTCAGTGCTGTTGATCTGTATTCTATACAGTTCTCAGCAGGGAAATGAATCATGGTACTATGCCTCTGAGTCATCTAGCTGTGCAGAAACTATGGTGTCATTATGTTGATATTTTGCCTACTATTAGCCATAAGGAACAACTGCTCACAGTGATATGCATAATGCCAGCCAGTGTGGACAAGTGCTAAGAAATACACTAAGAATACTTTTTCTGAATTTGCAATGCAGCCACACACACACCTACACACCTACACACACACACAGACACACCGCATGTGCATGTGTATGGACACAGTCTCAAATGGTTGTTGTGCTAATATGTTTTTAATGTCTTTGGGATGCAGTCGACATCTCTAATTTGTTTTTGTCTAAGCTGTGTGCTTATGTGGATGGGGACATCAAAGCAGTAAAAATAGCATTTCTCATTAACCATCCTTTCCCTCTCATTTATTTTCCTCATCCTCACTTGCCAGTTTGTCCACACGAGTGTTTTTTTAGGCACAGCTTGTGAAGTTGTGAGGAGGAGTTGCTAAGGAAAAGATAATGGGCCAGTGCTTGATGTCCGTTTACTCTTTCCTATATTCAGTCCTCGGCAGGCTTTCATCAGGAACTCATCATCATTTGAATTATCAACTGTACAAAGCTTGTGTCAAATCAAGTTTTCTAATGTGAATGAAACATCCAGCTTCGTTGTTCAGAATGACAGATGATAGCTTGGCATGAATAATGTTTGAGACAAACAGAAATAACAGTTTGCAGCAAGTGGTTTGATAAATGAGGTCTGATTTTCATGACAAGACATGAATTTCATTTACACTATTGATTCCAGAAGGATTTTGTCTAGAGCCTGACAGAACCAGTCGCTTGATGTTATTTGGCAACATTGAGTATTGGTGTGTAATACGTTGTCCTTCTTTTACAGAAGATGATGCAAAAAAAAAGAATAAATGTCACAGGTGAGCAGACTTTGCTTGAAGTCAAGCAGTGTCTACATGTTAAGTTACCAATTAGTTTATGAAATACATTACTGGAAATTAAGTTATTCTGATCATTTTCCCTTTTCAATAAAATTAGTGTACTATGTGCATGTACACCTTTCACACTGTTAAACGTCACATAATTTAGCATCACCTGACTATTCCTTGCGTCACTTCATTTGGAATCCTTGGCTTTATGTTATTTTGATTTAAAAAACAAACATTGTATATAGAAAATGCCACATGCAATAGTAAACTGATGCATGTATATTAATGGAACTTCTGGCTCTGCAGTCTTTGGTGTTTGGACCACATGTTCTTGCTAGATTAGCTTTAGTGTTTTCTAAAGAAGACAAAGAGTAGATACCTGTGTTCACTGTCTTTTAGAGGAACTAGAATGTTGTTTGTGTCACTCTGACCTGCAATCTGATGGTAATGGTCAATTTGCATGTGTGGTAAAAGAAAGAATGGTTAAAACTAGAGTGATTTTATTAAGAAATGTTTTATTTGCTGTAAAATAAAGAAAAATAGATCTTCTTTACCGTATTTCAGTGCATGCTGAGAGGTAATTGTCTCTTATAACTACAACAAACAAGTGGTCTATTCTACCTGTCACTTTTTTTCGGCAAAACAGATTACACCTCAGCTACACAAACCATCTTGGCTACGGGTATTACTGAAATAAAACAGTTTTTTGTCAAATTAACAATGAGATGAGGAGAGAGCAGCATTTGACTGATTTAGTGGCTGATGAAAAGTATCTCACCTCCACAAGGTATTACAAGATTATTGCTCAGTTCATCGTGACAGTTTCATGTCACTTCTCATGTTTGCTCTTCATTTGTCTCAGCTCTGTGGCAACATGATGAAAAATCTACAATATTTGCTGCAGCATTAGGAGACTTACCCGAAGTAACAATGTTTAAAATTTCCCATGCAGCTTTAAATGTCTTGTCAAAATCATGGTTGGCTATAGACTGCTAACAAGAAGGACAACGAATTCCCTGTGCACTTTTGGTTTCCGTAGCCAGAGTATAGCAGGGTGTGACGTTTCAAGCATCTTCTGCTCTTCTCTCAGCTAAAGTTGGATTGTCCAAGTTTAATTGGTTTGGTTTGATTTTCCCACTAAAAACATGTTTTTAAAATGTATCCAAAACAGCATGTACTTTTTAATGTGAGGTGTAGAATATAATTACACCATCAAATATGTTGTTTAATAATAATTTTGTACAAGAACAAACCTTTACTGAATAACCATTATAATGAAGTAAAATAAAATCAGTAACTTACATTTCATCTCAGTTTAACTGTGTTGAATGAGGATATATGCAAATGCTGGCTTGCCAGTGAATGAAAAGCTATTTATTATTCTTCTTGTCACTGATTCAGCCTGACTGTGAGCGAGTCAGTATGGTCAAATGTTGCTGCTGGAAAATAGTCAGTTCTGAAAGATGTGATCTTGGCCTAAATCTCTGAATTGGATTGGATTTGGTTTCCATAGTAATGGCCACAGACTAGTCCATCTTTTGAATGGTGACAGTGGACATGCATTTTTATGACTGTTCAGCCAGTCTGTATAGTTTGTCATGTCCTCCATCTGACATCCCTATTCAAACAAACATGATGCTCATTTTAATCATATACCTAACCCAGTGACTTCTATATGGTTATTTCACTGTGTAGGTTACAATCACTTCTAATGTACCTTCGAAACAGTGTGAGATGAGGAGTCTAACATAGATGTTGAAACAGAACAGGATAATGCTAATCATCCCCAGCCATAACAGAATACATTATTCTTCGCCACTTCATGTTGCTGTGGAAACTGTTTTAGAGTCAGTAGGTCTGCCAAGGGTGTGCAGATAAACATGTCATTGTGTGTGTGTGTGTGTGTGTGGGTGTGTGTGTGCGCACACATGTTTGTATGGCTTGGCATACTATGTGTTTTATCAATTGAAATGTTGCACTACCCAGCGGCAATGCATGTTTGACGGGTTAATTTGAAAAACAGATGAACAGATTCGAAGATTCATGGTGGGTGAGAAAGAAATGAAAAAGTAATGGTGGAGAGAAAAGAAAGTGACAGATGATGATGGAGGTGGATGGGGTGGGGGGGAGCACACTAAGAGTGGCAAGGAAAAGAGAGCCAGAGAAGGAGTGAGGATAGAGTCTGGTTCAGGAAAAAAAAGGTGAGACAAAGACAGACAAATAGACAGAGAGAGAGAACACTTGAAATATGAGAGCGTATTGTGACATGTATGTACAGTATATATAGATTGTTATGGGGGTGTGTATTAAACCATCTCTGCGAGGTGCGATGAATTGGCTCTATTAATGAAAGTGTGAGCCACTGTGTGGTCATGGATCCTGGACACACACACACGCACACACACACACACACACACACACACACACACACATAGATGCACACTGTGCTCCCTCTTCAGGCTCATATCATTACCCATCATTACACCCCCCATTTGGCATCAGCCTGCCAGATCGATCATGGCCGATAACTCTGTCTCACTCCAGGCCGGCCTATCTATCTCTATCTCACCCTCTCTCATATCTTACTCTCTCTGTATCTCTTTTTCACACCATATCTCCTCTCTCCCTGTCTCAACCCCCTCACACAACTCTCTCCTGCCCACAAACTGTATCAGTTTCAAAATTACTTAAATCGTCCGCCTACCCTATCCTCGTTGCTTTTAGCTTTGCTTTCTCTAAAGTATCTCTTCATCTCCTGCCGACCAAATCTCACTATCTAACATTCACTAATCTCCTGCTGACTCCTCTTTAGGTTTTGTACCATATTTTCCTAAGTCATATCTCCAGCTTTTGCTGCTGTGACAGGCACAGCAGTCACCTTGTATTTTCATTTGTCACTGACTTGCTTTCAGCTTCACTATAATATGCCTCTTCTTCTTCCACTGAACCCTCCCACATCCTTTCATCTTTCTCTCAGTCTCTGTCAACTCATCTTGCTCTCACTCTAGCAGCTCGGTCATACCAGCTGTGTCTTTGCACGTGACTCACCGTCGCTTACTCTTCTTTGTGTTCCTCTTCCTCTTCTAAATCTGCATCCCCATCTTTTCCTTCTCTGCAAAGAGAAAGTGGTGCTTACATCAAGACTTAAAGGCTTAGGACCGGGCTCAACAATCACTTGAAAAACTTGAGAATTTTTTGTGTTTGTGAGTTCAGTGTTGGTGTGTATAAAGTGTTAGAAAGTGAACAACATGCAGATGTGAAGTTGAACACTTTCAAAAGAGCCAAAAAAAAAAAAAATGCATTCATGCTGATATTATTCAAGGGTTTAATCACATGGCCTAAATGGAGGGAGCGTGATCAGCTGGCTTTAGTCTCCTTTTTCTTCACTGTCCCTCCCTTTGCTTACATCTCTTGATCTAATGATGCTCTTGCTTGTGTATGCTCCACATTGATTCTAATTCAATTTGGATGGAATGGGTCTTTCAGACAATTGTCTGCAGCGATGGCCCCAGATGGATTTTTAGCTTCTTCTGCAGGCATTAGAGATTAATGGGAGGAAGGCCACACTGGACAGAAAAGAGCAACAATCAATTTCACAATAATTCCATATTTACACATTCTCATGTAAAGAGAGTAGTAAAGAAGTGAGAGGAAGGAGGGGAATGCAGCACTGTGAGAGCGGAGCACCTCTCTTCTAGGGAAAAAAAAATGCAATGCAGGAAGAAATTAATGCAAAATTGTCACAACGAGGCAAGTCAGTGTTGTTCTATATTAATGACATGCCCTTCAGTTAAAAAAACATTTTCCATGAAACATGGGCAGAGACGTTTGATGAATTGATGTTTAGCGATGATTCACGTTAACCCAGTGCTACCTCCAGAATAGTAAATAGACTTATATGATGATGCTTTTATATTTTCTATACTGGCCATTAATGTTTACTGATCATGACAATATTTTTTATGTTAACCTACTTTTTGATTCATAGACTTGTGATGGTTACAGGTATGTCAGTGCTAAACAAACTGAAGCCACAAAACAAGCAAGCACACATGCAGTGCGCTGAGATGTACACCTCCTGTTAAGTTGCTAAATAAATTGTTGTAAACTGTTGGCTAAACTGAACCATAATGGGCCCCAGCTTGTAAAAACATACAGTTTTTCTTTCAACACCTTACAAGTCTGCTGCCTGAGAGTCAGAGCTGCTGGCTATGGTTTCATTTGAATGCTATCATGCAGCGACATGCAGCCTTTGTACTGTAGATTTGCTTTGACATAGTCTGTTTTCATGCCCACTGTTGTGACACCATTGCCACAGGAACTAAGTGAACGTGTGTCCCTCTGAGCAAGTGTGCACAAGCGTGTTCGCGAGCATGCGCACTTTTCTCAAGGCATATCACCAAACTACATTTGTCTCACTTCAAAACACTGGTGACTTGCCAGACGAGAGCTGTGCGGTGATGTCACATAAAGCAGCCTAAAGCGACACGGGTTTGCGCTGTAGCATCAATGGCCCCATAATATCCCTGGCTCTCTGAAGTGGCTATTGTTTTCTTGCTTTCCAACTCTTTGAGCATCTGGCTGGGATGGTCTCTGGAGGCCGTGTTATAAGCCCCTGACTTGCTCCCTGCAGGCCGTCTCACTGACAGGAGATCAGACTACATCAGTATGTGTGAGAGGTACAGCGGGATCTGAGGGATGGATCCTATTTCAGCTGATCCAGCACAGTGAGAGGTGGTTGCCAGAGACTCACACACACTAAAAAAACTTACTTTGTGCACCTTTGTCTATGTGTGTGTGGACATGTGTGTGCCTAGTTGTGTGTGATGTGAGTGGGCTTTAGAAAAAGACAGCAGTGAAAGACAGTTGAGACAGTAAAAGAGTGAGAAAGAGAGAGGGAGAGCGAGAGAGAGAGAGAGAGAGAGAGAGATGGAAAATATGTTTGCCCTGTTCACACCGATCTGTTTGTGTGGGAGTGCATTAACATCTATGTGGGCTGGAAGGGAGGCTGAATATGCAAAACAGTTGGAACAAAGGCTAATAACTCCGGAGCTGCTGTGCAAAAAAGATGGTACATTTCCTTGACTTATAGCCAAACAGGCTTCGTTTGGAGGAGGAACACAGGTTTCTGTTATTTTTTTTTGTTGTTGAGTAGTTTAGAGAGCTAGGGAGGGATTCTCAGCCTCAATGGCAGACTGACATGGGTTATCCTTCACATTTTAGCATTCATACTCTTTCAGCAGAGTTCATCTGTTATCCTCTAAAATAAGTTTAAGGAACGTATTTAGCAGCCAAAAACTGTCTTAAATTCCAGTTTCTATACTAAGAATGTTTGGGGAACAAGGGCAAATGGAATGAAGTTGATAACTGTTATAACTGGAAGGATTTGAAGTGTGTGATTTGGAAATTTGAGGGCAGAAATTATTAATTTATGAGCTGAATTAATCAATTTGAGGGAGCACATTACTAAACTGAGGGAATGAAAAAGAATGTTGTGTACACAAATTAGTCATCTAATGGGACAGTTTGTACTTAGGACAATGTGCTAATTTGAAGGAACAATTCATGAGAAAAAATTCCCTCCAAAATGGCTCCTCAGAAAACGGTGCATCCAGTCACTGTTGTCACTGTCACGTTTGAAAGGCCTTTACTATTACTGAAATGTTATTTCACTTCCTCAGGAGCGCAAAAGGCACTGATGCCATTTTTGTATGTTTGTGAGCTAAAAATGTCAGGGTTATGTTGCACTTCGAAACAGACAGCATGTGTGAATGGGGATCTTTGCATTGACGTCTCATGTTTGCTCGAATGCATACAGCGGAGTGTAATAATGTGCACGTCTGTGTATGTGTGCCTGCTTTTATATCAGTAGTGGAAGGTTGCCGGCAGTAAAGGGATTTGAAAAGTGTGATTTTGAACTTCTTCATGTTAGAAGTCAGTTTGATCAATGTCTGCTGCAGCTCTCACTTGCTTCAGGGCACAGTGAACCACTGATAGATGAATTCCTCTGTGTGAGTCCGTGGACTGATGTGTAGGTGTACAGTGAGGGGAAAAAAAAAAAAGTGAACAAAAGCAAATCAGAGTCTAAAAATGTGTGTGTGCATGTACACGCACCATCATATCTACATACTGTATCTTTTTAGTATGGGTGAGGTGTGGGTGTTGTGTATCTGTGAGCTCCTGCTTCACTGTGTGTATTGTGTTTACTGATTCAATCACATATTCGAAGGCTCTAATTAGTATCATCTTACTCGTAGACTCGTGGCGGCTAACAAAGACACCAGTGAGTCTCTGGACTTTATCATCCAGTCCAGCCACCGAGTCCGCCTGGCAGTCAGGCCTCAGTGCCCAGTCTGGCCCTGGAGCCCAGCAGCCTGCAGAGGAACCCATGTGCAGAAAACCTTTTAGAGCTCCAGCAATCCGATTAAGGCAGCTCTTTTTCTACAGCACTGTTGATGCTGAGATAAGTGTTCTAGTGGACTCTTCAGATCAACTCTAAAAGCACTATTTCATTAAACCAAGAACTCAAATTTCTGAGTGGATCATTTTGGGTTTCTTCATATATTCTGGGTAGGTGAGAGAAGCTTGCGCACACACACACACACACACACACACACACACACACACAGCTGCAGCCATCAAGATGTGAAATAATGATGCTGGATAAAAGCTACTGCTGACAGAGTGAGCTGTGCTTGATGAATAGGCACAGAAAGATAATTTTTTTATGCTTTTGATTTGCAGAAAAAGATGGGAATTATGAATCTGTGTATGCTTACTCTATGTGGGTTTATGATTGTGTGGTTTCTCAAAGACAGGTACAACTTGAAAAGCCTCCATATTTATCTCCAAGTGTTCTGGCAGAGCGTCAGTGGGATGATGGATGATGTCTTCATCGGTGGCCAATTCTCTGAAGTTGTGGTTTGAGCGCTGGACTGAAAAACAAGATTACATTTAATGGACATTCACTCCCATCCAGAATTAACTGCAGGCTAAACACATACAGCTGCTCATAACACTGCGTCCAATAAACCATTTCAGTATCCAGTGTTTAAAGAAATGGCAAAGAAAGGCATGGACAAATAAAATTACTTGCAATTTTCACAATAAATATAAATAATAAATATAAATATTTATGGAGAGTGATGAAAAACATATCTTCAGCTGTCATCTAAATGAAATAAAATATATTTGCTCAACAGCTGGCAATGTTTGAATAAAAGTTTCATGCAGTTTAGTGAGGATGTGCTGAACAGAGTGTGTGGTACCTCAGTGAATAGATGTTAAAAACATGAAACAAAAAAGTTTTTTCATAGAAGATTGTATCTCCAGGACAAATTTAAATCAGCTGTGAACCTTTTGTAGTCACCCTATAAAACGTAACGTAGTATTAATTTATAGAGGTCATACAGCTTCTTGTAATGTTGAGGCATTGAGAGACTGTAAGTAGAATCTGTTTGTTGTGCTGATGCATTGCCTTTAGCCGTTAGCAGAAAATGGAAAACTCTAAGAAGGTGCAATACTGGGTAAGTGACAGAAAAGCCTTGATAATATATCAAATGAAATTTGTGGCTCAAACAAGCAATAATTCATACCAATAATTACTGAGCTCTGCAGGCAACTGCTTCATCAACATTCTCATATTTGTTCTTTTTTTTTGTATTCTGTAACCAGTGTTAATATATTAATGTAATGTAGTCGTGCTTTTTTGTTGTTCTTCCACCTCTTCCATTTTTCATGGTGATATCAACGATTGTGAATTGACTTAGTAATAATGTTTCAAGCCCGTTACGACACCAAATAGGTATGCATAGCCAGTCGCAGCTCCCTATCTCCATCAGAGGGTGACCTTTAGCGCGGCCTGTTCTGTATAGTTTTCCTCAGGGTGCAAGGATGTGGGCAGAGCTCGGCTATATACAGTAGGAGTACTCAGTAGGATCAATAGCTCTCTCTAAAGCTGTTCCCAGACACATCTGCAGTACCTAGGGTGGCCTTTGTGACACAGAGATAAAGAGAAAACACTCCCCAGGCTGTTAGTGTCTCCTCCTGTCCCCCCAACCCCCTACCCCCACCCCAACACCACCACCAGCCCGCTCAGAGGAAGACGGATAAATCAAACTCGCTTGACAGAGGGAGAAGTATTGCTAATATTTTCATGATCCACAACAATATTGTTGTGACTTAACCTTTTCTTAAAGGCGAGGAAAAAATCCCACCATCCATCCACGCCGGGCTGTGCTGAGACAGCTGAAAGAGCTGGAGGGCGGGGTCCATGTATATTTACTAACTCTCTGTTCCATCCATCAAAAGACACAGCATGTTGGCTCCACCTGTCTGTCAGTGTCCTCTCAGATTCCGTGGCAACTTCCTCTCCCCCAACCACTCCATAGTCTCCACCACTTGATATGTGCATGTTTAAGGCGAACGCTCTCCTCTTTGTCTTCGCTGACTCTTTTCTGTCTCTGGTCTTTTGTTGCTGACTCCAATCTTCCCCCCCTTTTGCTGTCTTTTCCTTCCCTTTCACTCCCCTTTTCTTGTCCAACTCCTGTATGCATTTCCCCAATGCTCCTTGAACAGTAGTAGTGTGTAGTATGAGTGTGCTGCCCAAGCAGGTTAGAGAAGGTAATTCGAGGCTCTGAGGGTGCCGCGAGGCTTGGATTTAGTTCTGGAAGGTGTGCTGACAGTCAGCAATCTGGTGCTGATCACACCAAAGTCACACAGATTGGTAAAATGTGTAGAAACCTAGTGGGAAAAGGGTAAGTGTAAATTAGTTAGGAAGAAAGTGCAGGAGAAGGAGTGATTGTAGTTTTATCCACACAGACAGAGTCAACAGAGATGTCACTTTTACCGTGGGCCATGTTAGCTTTTGAGCTGAAGCCCATTTGCACCTGACACAATGGGAAAGCAAGCTTTCTGCCTGAATCCACACGTGTGTAGGGTGCTCATAGTCTTTGTGCTGCACATGTGTGTTGGTGCAGTGTGGGCATATTTAGAAGAATTAACTGTGATTCAGTCCACTGTTTAAATTTCTTTGAAGAGTGAATAGCGCATCTCAGCTAAAAGCTTCGTTTCGACAGAACAATTGACACACACTCAATTGTGCGCCATACAAATACACCCAGAAAGAAAGAGAGTTGGAGTTGAAGTTGGAGTTTGAGTGGAGTAGACAAGCGTCTGGTATAGAAGCAGTTTTAATATGTTAGCCTGTCTCCCTGCTGGCCTCCCCTCCCCCTTTCAGGGACGGCACTAATGCCATTAAGTGTGGGACAGATCTGTTCCATGTCTGCAGGCCTGCCAGTCTACTGGTCTGCCCCGAGACCACTCTCCATCTAATCCTATCCTCTCTCTCCCTCTATCCTCCTCCTCCCCTCCACGCCAGAGACAGGAAGAGGCGGCTGGGAGAAAAATCTAATAAATAAATGAGAGGATGCAAGAGGAAAAAAAAATATATAAATTAAGTTCTCCGTTCTCGTAAATCATGTTGCCAACTTCCAGTAGACAGGGGGGCGGAGCTTAGGGGGGAGAGAGTGGGAGACCATAGGTGGACGAGGGAGAGGGAGGCAGTGAGTAAGAGAGAAAGAGACGAGAGATTGTGAAAGGGAGAGAAAGAGGTGCGGGAAGCGTTTCTATTCCACCCTCAACCTAGGCTCGGCTCTGGAGACTCGGCGGCGAGGTGTTTTTAATTGATTTTTGATTAGATAGACATGAGGAGGGGGGTTGTCCATTAGCATGAGGGGAATGAACCTCTGAGAGGAAGTGAGTGAGAGAGCAATGTACAGTGAAGAAGAGAGAGAGAGAGAGGCTGAGATAAAGAATTGTGAAAGACACTGAGGCAAATGACAAGTAAATAAATGCATATGCATATTTGATATGCACCATTGGGATGTAACTTTTTGTTAAATTCAAACTACTTTGCAGCTTAATTAACTAAATTATATGCTGTAATTATACCCTATTCGTCAGGGAGTTATGCATGAACAATTTCAGACCAGGAGATAATCTTCGGCCAAATACACTAGCCATGGTTTACTTGAGGACAGCCTTGATAGGTTGAATATTCTGGTTCTTTCTCCTGGACTCCTAATGCAGAGACAATGCAGGTCAACAGTAGTATTGATAATGTGAACACTATCCTATCCGACTGTGTCCCCACCATTCGTAACACCCGGCCCATCTAAACAGTGTGGAAAAGGTGGATAACAATTTAAAGAGGAAAGCTCTAGGACTTGTGCTGTCTGAAGGCTTTATATATAGAATTACATTTAATGTCTCGAGTGTAATTACCAGGTAAAGTGTCTGTATGTCCAGCTCACCACGCTGTAATTTCTCCAGCTGGATTGGAGTTATCATATAACAGAAGGATCCTTTAGGAACATAGAATTGTTTCAGCAGTTATATCAGATGTAAAATACCCTCTTGTCAGTAAATAAATACAGCAGAACAATATAAAAACACAGGGACAAAAGAGCCCGTAGCAATTTCAGGGCATAGTGTAGGAATAACTCTAAGCATTCCTGTTTTAATGAAATAACATTTTTTTTTTTCTCAACAGTAGAATTTCTAAGCAGCAAAATGCATTTATCCTCCATTCAGCACACTCGGGGAATTTCACCACCACCCTTTTACTTGTTAAACTATGACAAGTGGCTGAGATTAGCGTTTGATCAGACACACTTTATACCTGATTTTTCTCTGGACTGTGTCTTCTTTAGCGGATCTATAATGGCAACTTAGAGATTATTAAGATTTTCATTAATAAAAACACAATTTCTTTGTACAAGTTTACATTTAGTTATTGGTTCTGCCTTTAAGTTTCATATTGAATGGTCCATTTATTCTGCACTGGAGTCTAATTACATTTACACTCACAAGGGATTCACACACACACACACACACACACACACACACATACACACACACACACACACACACACACACACACACACACACAAAAGCGTGTCACTGTTTTTAATTTCATCTAATTGAAATCACAGTTTACTGTACAATGTCCATATCAGAGCTGTATCCAGAGAAAACAAACAAAACTTTTCCTACAGCTGCTTTTTGTTTTTATATATTAATAACATTTAAAAGGCAAAAGATGGGGTGGCTTCTACTGTGAAGCAGTCCCAGGAAACGCAAAAATATTTGTCCTCTATTTGTTATTTATTTATTGAAATTTTGTCTACCTGCAGATAATTTCTACTTTTCACAAGAGAGCGATGGAACAAAACTCAGCAGCCACAGTGAACCTGCAGATTAAAAGCTGCAGGTGACAAGCTGCTCTTCAGACTCCTCAGAAAGGAGAAGTCTTCGTATTGTTCACTGCTGTTGTGTCGGAAAAACTACTCGTGCAATAAAAAAAATCACATCAAGGTTTGCAAAAAGGATTTCTTTATTAAAACAAGGTGGCTTTGTTTGGCTGGAAACAGATGCAGCAGTTGCTTTTCTGTTGTAATTCCAACCAAGTAGCTTCTCAGTTTCCTGTAGTATATGCATTTTTTAATATTACCGTGTGTGTATGCAAATCAACCGGTACTAAAACCAGCTACAGCTTTAAATGCAGGACCTGCCACCAGTTGGTAAAGAACGTCTGTAACTTGTACTCCAGCTCGCACATGTCCATTGACGTGACTGTGATGTCCTGAACTGTGAGGGTCCGTATCAGCACCGAAATCCTAAGAAGAGTGTCTCCTCTTATCTCATAGTTAGCCCTCCCTCAGTCTCAGTGCAGTTGCTCGCTGTTTTTTTTTTTGAGATTTAACAGTATTGTTTTTGCTCACAGTAACTGTTCCACAATTCTAATAAACCGCTCCAAACAGGTTCGGTGTGATCGCACTCTTAAGTGTCCCTCCATGCCAGGAGCAATCAACAT